CCTTATTTCCCCCGCAGTGCTACAACAATATCGGTACCCAGTACACTTGCTGTTCGGGTGCATGCGCCTCCACCCCTTCCAGCACCCCGGGCTGCGACGGCGCCCCCCCGGCTAACCCCTCCCCCAATAATCCTACCCCGACCAACCCTTCCCCGACTAACCCTTCCCCAACCACTCCGGCGCCGAACACGCCCGGTCCGACGCCCGGTTCGCCGTCCCAGGGCGGCGTCTTCCCCGCCGGGGGGGTGTGCGATCCGCACTCGTCGGCTCCCAATCAGGTGGGTCTCCCGCGGTGTCTTTCTGGCGTTGACGTTCTCAACTCTGGCTGTTTTGCCTGTGTTGTTCGATAACCAGGCGACCAATCTTTTGAACGGTTATCAACGAAGAGAGACCGGGGAAAGGCTCGGTTGGCGAGTCACCTGTATGGGTCAGAAGGAGTCGCCGAGCCTTTCCAGCCGCTTCGTACAAGCGAAATTTCATCGCAGTTTTTCTTTATACTCTTTATTTAGCTGTCTCGACACACGAAACCCATCGAATTCGACAAAGAAACTCTCCTTCGGTGTGCCCGTGTTGTTCGTTAAGTCCTTCAAAACACTCAACTGAAATACCGCCGAGGAGTGGTCGGTTGCCATTTCACTGCACGGGCAGAACGATTCGCCGAGCCTTTCCAGACGCTTCGTACAAGCGGGAGATATTCTCAGTGCAGTGAGAGAGGCATTTCTGAACAGCGATGCTCTTCAACGTCGCTTTGAAAGTGTGGTCTACTTCTTCCAAGGCTTTTAAAGAAACGGACCTGAAGCGCAGCTTTGGAGAGAAGCTGGGAGCACAAAATGCACAGCTTTTGGTGTTCTCTCCACTTTTCTAACTGTCTCAAAAAACAGAAATCCCTCAATCTTGACCATGAAAATCTGCTTCGGTGCGTTGCAGTGTTACAACAACGACGGCTCTTCGTACACGTGTTGCGCCGGGTCGTGTTCCAGCACGCCCGGAAGCGTCCCGTCGTGCAACTAATTTATAGCCTTGATTTCCAATTTGAGACGCTTAAACCAGCGTGCGGCGGTCTCAGCCGTAGTTTAGAAACTAGGGCTCCAAGGTGCTCTGTCCAAGCCCAATGACGTACACAATTGACGCTGTCCATGATGGAACTAGACACGGGTCACTCGCACTCGCGAAGCGCACTGAGATGATTGGGTATAGATTTGTATTCAATCCAAGTGCGGCAATGTACTCCTTAGCTTGGTCACGTCGAGGTTTTGTCCGACCTTGAGAAGTGTTAGGTGGAGAACATATTTTATGGAAAGCCTGACCCGGCAAGACGACACCTACAGGCACCGGTCAGAGACGTCGAGTTGGCCTCTGTACGTTTAGTGCGTCCATTGAACCTTTTGAAAGTCATTCAAGTACGTACCTATTACGCTCGTATGTCCGGTCCAGATGACTCTATGCTTCAGTGCAGATTTTTTGCGTTGAATGTAGATGCTGCCGTTCTGGTAGGTCATTCAGTTGAGCTGCAGATTGAGGGACTGGCTTATACCATCTGTCAGTTTTGATCTGCATGCTGTGAGGGTACTTGATGGTAGCTCTTGTTCATCTCAAGTGTACAGCTAGCGAGCTACAGGCATGCAGTGCATGTGTGATAACTTGACTCGAAGTTTCGCTAATCGAATATGCATTTCTTCATTTCTGTATATGACATATACCAAGTATTGCTTCAGGCTTGCTTCATGAATGCGTCCCCAGCTGCACATGTACCATATAAGCCCAGTGGACGGCTTTCTAGCGCTGCGGCAATTTCACCATTTCGATTGACGTTAGCTAGCGCTGCAATGACGTCAATCGACTTTCTTTGAGTGGGCATCGTTGATTCCGATCCTCAGCTATACAATCATTGTATCTGTATGCGCAGAAGCGCTGCATGAGCTTCGCCAAACAATAACGAGTGACTTGGCACGATTTATAATATCAAGAGCATTTAAAAGCTTGTCGGGCCGATTGACGGCGCGGGGCCATGTGGCGAAATCGATCACCGAGTCCGAGATCTGCGTTTGTACTGTTTGGTCCGACCTGTGCGAACATAGATATTTGTGGCTCTTACTTGCCAGTATCCTGGCGTTTCGACCGTGTGTGACTCATGCAGATCGTTGTATATCTGTCTGATATTTAAGTTCAAAGTTCTGATCGTCTCGACATGCGCACGCATGTCAATTGCATAATAGATTTAGAACGATACCAGCATCCAAGCAGATCGCGAATGCAAGGAAATAGAGCATCAACCGTTGGGCCCACCATGCCCTTAAGCAAGCTGTCAACTCTCCAGAATTATCAACAGGCAAAAGAAACTTGCAGACCGTATGATGCCATACATATGAAATTCACAGTGGACCCGTGATATCCAACTAGAAGGGACATATTTTCGTTGGATAAGAACCACCGTCATCTATTGCACCACTAAGCTCGAAACCGCTTTCGTTTGACCAGGGTTTCCGCTTGGCAATACTTAAAAAACCGGCAATGCATCTGATCATTTGTAATTTAATTACCTTTTCTCTCAATCTTGAGCTTTGTCTCGTCCCTTGCACTAGGGTGTTCTCAAGGTGCCTGCAGACCAGAAGACTGTTTGCTTGTGAAAGGGTGTGTGATTCGATTTGGAGACAGATGCCAGAAGATGTGCAGCACAAAAGCGTCTTCCAAGCTATAACCTCTACAAAGAGGTGCGGAACAACGTGTGACAAAACAAGTCCTCCAACAAGTCCTCCTTCTTGCAAAACTCTCGTAGCAAAGGGTCAACGCGTAGCATAAGGTCAACGGACTTTTTAGAGAACATCGAAAACGAGCATTGACTGAGAAGGTGAGAAGTGCGACGGGGGATCAGAAACAGCCTCACGTGACCACATGATTTGTTTCAGATTGGTAACGGATGTGATTTTTGTTCATCACTTCCCCCGTCACTTTCTTCGTTCAACTTCACTTAAAGGCTATGCGCCCAGACGAAAGTACAAAAGTTCGATCTTGATCTCAACCAGAAATGTGATCGACAAAAATGGCATAGCGCGATAAGCCCAGCAGGACAAACACTGAAGAAACAAGAAGGATTAAGAGCTCATAAAGCTTACCGAGAACACTTCTATGAAAACGAGAGCCGAAACCGCTGAACGACTGGCGCCGGTCATCTGGATGAAGCTGCCTTCACCGCCGACGAGCTGGAGACCACCTTGGTTTCAGCCACTCCTATACACAGAAGACCCCAGAGAGATCAATGTTAGTATTCGCGTATAGTCAGAGGACTTTTTCCTGTAGACAACACCCTAAGTACCGCACACCGGGGTTTTGAGATTGCTGGAAACTTCTTGATGGCAATCTTGTCAGGCAATCAGAAGGTGCGGTCACTGTTCTCTTGTGAAAACGTTGGAATCCGCAGACTTTCCTCGTCACCCGTATCAAAGAAACGCAACATCAGCACCCCTGGTGCATGAGTCCATATACCTGTTCAAGGTGACGATGAAACTCATGGAGAGCGAAGTGTCAAACTGAACACTTCGAAAAAAGCTCCAATAATCCATGAAAAAGGAACAGTGTATGTAGTCGACCTTTAGTAAGGAGAGCCAATGAAACGGCCCTTCTCGTGGAGGCAGACCTCTGGTTGTCTGGCCAGTGCCCCGCCCCCGAGGGAGCGAGGCCGTTTTTCTGGGCAAGAATGGGGGAGAAAGCCTGACAAAAACAGACCCCCTCAAAAACAAACCTGCCAGGCACGCTCAATCGACAATCTCTTTATGGCAGAAAAACCTGAGCAAAACCATTGTTTATTGTTTGAGCAGTTGTAGAAGCCGCTTTGAGAAAGCAACAATTCTAAAAATTGCTAACAAATCAGACGAAATTAGTTAGGGGAGAACGCAAAAGTGATCAACTCATCCGGCAACACGACAGGGCAAAAGCAGATGAAGCATCTTGAGTGCGTTGGACTGGAAAAAAAGTCATTCAGGGCTCATATTCTATGGGTGTATAAGTGTCTGTCATGCCTTGCGGCTTTCAGTACGAGGAATTGAATATAATCACCGCCCTTCAATTCAATGAAAGTTCTCGCAGAAACGCTGAACCTGTAACACTTTTGATCAGTTTGCACGGGTAGAGCGACAGACTAACTAGACCGTCTTGTTGAAATCTGACTCAGAGAAGGTTCTGAAAATGCTGGGCTTTGTGGACGAGACATGTGCCTAAACTTAAGAGAGCCTCTTGTTGATCGACTCGATCGTACAGTCACTTGCAGACGTTGATGAGCAGAAATGTTACGGATGCTGCCAAGAAGGCTTTGCTGCAAGAACAGCGACTGCCAAAGATACGCAAAGAAAGCTTTCAACGAACAACCTGTACTCTTGTACAGACTCATTTCCCAGGCTTATGTTGCAATGTGCACCCCCTGACCGTCGGCGAAGGAGGTGTAGGAACCAGCGCTGACAATCACGGGGCAGTCAATCGCTTTCGCATCAGCGTATAAGCGCGAGGCGACTGTTCACAACCAGCGCCTTAGAAATGATGCAAGCAGAAGATTGGAGTCGACTAAACTGCAAATCTGGATAGTCAGCCAATCTCATTAGATGGACACGAAGTACACATGTAACAATCAAGAGACCCTTAAGAAGATCCGCTCAGTGCGCAAGTGAAGTATTATGTCATCGGTGTGACCACCTACATAGTCTAACATGTATTTTGGATCACTGTTCATCACAGCGGATCTGTTGGCATACCATTCACCCTTTGCTAACAGCAACACAAACTTCTTCAGTCAACAGCCAGGCCGATGTCGCGCGCAAGCACGTCTTGCAGTCGTAAACAGTGACAAAACAGCAACTCCACCATCTACAAACCAACTGAGACCCATTTTTGTCAGACACAGGGTGCAAACACTAGTACCAAACATACAGTCTGTCTTTTCGAGCATGATACCATCTGCACGGGTGTGTGGTCGTCAGGGACTTAAATACTGGTGTCACCAAGGTGAATCTGCATTGCAGAATTGCTGTCATCATCCGACTACACCCGAACGACAGGCGGCACTCAAATCATCTCAAGCTAGAATGGTTCCCCCAACACTCAACATTCGTTCCTGCAAGTGCTTACGAAAACTTACTGAAACCAAGCAATAAAAACCATTACCAAAAACTTTTAGTGAGACTCAGGAAGGAGGTTTGAGGTGGCCTTACCTGAGCAAGTAACACCATAATCCGCGGTCGGCTGATTCGAAGCCGCTGTCTGACGAGTCAACCCCCTTCCAATCTTGTCAGCATGACTCAAAATCTGCGCGACAAAGAACCAAGGTGTCAATGAGGTAAGCACCTTAAGGTTTCATCAATCATTCACCAGGTTGCCTTTGCAGCGCCAGTTGCTTCAATGGCATTCCCATCGAGCAACTTCATGATCAGGTGCAGCACTATCAGCTGAGGCTGGTGGTACCGAGTTGGAAACAAAGGAAAGCTTATTTCTGATTCCAGCATCTCTAAGAGTTGAGGTCAAATGAGCAAGGTCGATGGAGAATAGACCGAAAACGCGTCCAACACATAAGCGTATAGAAAGACATAACCCAATTTGCACCCAACTTTGCAGTCAACTGAAACAACCCCCTGCAAATGTTCACCAAACCCGAAAACACAATCAAGGCATGTACCTTGGAATGGCTGGTGCATCAAACTCCGTATTGTAGGCTCCGTGCCTTTCATGCTAGGCACCCACTGACCGCTTTTGAAGAGCCTGCAGCAGATGACAAGTATCTCAAGACAATGATCTGCTGAGTCAGGTGTGCTTCCAAATCGAACAAGTCCCTTTTCAAGACCTTTCAAGACTTTTCAATATCCTTTTCAAACCTACTTTCGCTATGTTCTACAAATGAGACAGGTTCACAGCTTTCAAACCTGAGAGGCCTGGCAGCGAGAGTTTGAAGATCGGAACGTCAAAAACCTTGAAATAAGTGTGTGCTTATCTGGCCATCCTTTCTGCATGGCAGGAAGATACAAGCGAGACCAGCACTGAGCTTTGCTGTTGCGCTACGCTCATGCTCAAACTGGTACTCAGTCCAGCCAGCCGGCAATCAGTAAAGCAGCGCACAGTGGATAAGCATACTTCTGGTACTATCGAAGAAATTGAATTCAAACCTCAAGCGGTAATGCTCTGTACATGCTAAAACAATAATGCGGCATTTTGCCAGAGGCAGTATCAAAAATGTGAAGCTGGATATATGGCGAGTCAGTTCGGTATGAATGAATATGCCTCAAGTGTGTATGTTCAGCGCAGACAAGTCTGCGTCACACATCTAATTGAATCATCCTCCTCGCCATATACCATATATCGTTGCACAAAAGGCGACTTTTCACAGCAGGTCAGAAGAGGAGAATCTGCACCACCAAATTCTACAATCCCAGCCAAGGAAAGCAACACCGTTATCAGACTACATGTCTCATCTTCATGCAGTACCAATAACAGCAGAAGCTTGTGAGCTTTAATGTCCTCACAGAAAGCACAGACCAGAAGAAACAACCATCTTTCTGCAGTTGGCAAGCACGCTCAGGAGAAACCCCTCATCAAGACTTGAAACCTGAGGAAACTGCATTCACAATATACGGCGCATAAACATTCGGGTGATCTGCCGGCAAACTCACCGCGCTAGTAAGACATCTTTGCTTGGAAGATGGTTCAAGGCACCATCAGTGGTTGGCAATGTGGCAACCATCTGTCCATTGTCAAGACTCCGACAAGGAAGCACCTGGAGGGAGGCCAACTGGCTGCCAAACCACCAGGCATAGCAACCAGCAAGGCACGCTTCGCAACACCAAACTCTAGCAGGCGCCAAAATGGCGCCTCAGCAGAATGCTGGGCACCTTGCTGCAAGGCTTGCAAATTGAAACTGGGAACTGTCATGAATGGCCAGAGCCGCCGCCTGATGTCACTCCGAATTGCGCTGAGCTCACTCACGCAAGAGGCACATACCTAGTATAGCCGAACTTTTTCCGAATTGATGAAACGTCGGCGCACGCGGTAGGTACCGCTGGAGACTTTGCAGGCTCAACGCGATAGATGGTACCACACTCCACGGTACGTATATTCCCCAAGGCAATTCAGCTCCCGGGGATGCCAACAAACACTAAACCTAAGCTACACTGAGGCGAGACCCTAACCCACACCCTAACCCACCAAAGTCACTCGGTTGCTAGGATTGCTGGTGACTCAGGCGTCGACATTCATACGGTTCGGAAAAAGTTCGGCTTACTTTGTCCATTTTGCCTCACGGAATTGGGTTGAGCTCACAATCCACAGATGTCGTCGGATGGACGGTGATATCAATCGACGGTGTGCAACCTGTCACCTGCGATGCCTCAGCCTCATCGACAGCTGGTACTACCTATACCGTAGGTGTCAAATGTCTGATCCGACGGTTCTCTCACTGTCAGCCGCTTTACTCTTATGTAATAGAATCGTCGGATAGATTCTGCCAGCTGGCAATGGCAGCAGTGCCACGAGAAGCGCTGTGCAGGCTGCCTGCATATACTGATTGGAAGAAGGCGGTGCTTTGTGCCTGAAGACTCTGGAGCTGGAGCCTGGGAGGGGATTTCGTTGACTATCCTGATGGCTTCAGATATTCTTTTCCATCTTTCCGTGAGTATCATCATCATCTTTTACCTTGATCAGACTGTTTGGTTCTTCGGGCGGTTCCAATTGTTGCTCAATTCAGCGTCTTCTTACGGCATTCAAGAACGAATTTGACAACCTGCAGCGCATGCAGAGGCTCTTGCTCTTTACGCCAAGTCCTGGCCCTTATTCGCTGCGCTTATTTAGTAGAGAGACAGCTCCCCTTCAGCAAGCTGCTAGCTTGATGAAACTTTCCACTGGTCCGTAGATGATGGCGGCGTGGACATAAGTAGCTTGATAGCACTACCAGAAGCTTTGAATGTGACTTTTCAGGGGTGGTAGTAAGTTTTACACTGGAATATTCAACGCATTGTAGAAAGCTAGCCAGCCCGTTTTGATTGCTTGGATTGTTTATAGTCTGCTTGGGCCAGCTTAGATCTTCGCAGAATCATGTTTAGGAGTATATAATGCCGTGGGATGTGCTGGGGCATTGCCTGTGACTATATGAGAATAGTTGCTCAATTCCATATGTGGCAACATGATGTTGTAAAGCTCTCTGCATCCTGGGTGATGGACCTCTTGCATCATTCAGAAGTGCATACATTGGATTGCTGGGGACATATGTGTCACTGCCAGCATACTTAAGCAAGTTCGCCCGTGCTTATGAAGATAGTCCACTAAAATGAGAGCGCCTTTCTCCAGCTTTTACTCGAATCTGAAAGGATTACCCACACTGGTCATTGCCTGTCTCTTGAAAGCTGGGGGTGAAAGCTGGGGTAGATCTTAGCCAGAAACGTGGTGCAAGGACTCTCTCAAGGCCTGGACTCGTGTAGAATTAGAACTCTCACCTAGCTCCCTCTTTCTTCTTGCACGTCACTCCGCAACCTGCCCCCATTGTCGGTCGTTCCTCTTGACCTTGATCCATCATCTTCCGCCTCCCATTTTCCCTCTGCTCTCTCAACTGCGAGCTTACCAAGTACTAACGAAGTGGTTCTGCCTTTCTACAGAGGCGCCCCAGCTTTCGGTTGAGCAACAATGACAACACTCCTTTGTCTGCAACGACATTGCCCCCCAGCGATGCTTGACCCTATCCTAACTTGACCCTCCTTAGTCAGCCCAGACCGAGCGGGTCGGGATACTCCCCCCAACTCAGCCATGGTGGGGGCTACTCCCGTGCCGCCACCTGGCGCCGAGCTGAACCACATTGCCTCGACGCCCAAGGCGGTCCTGGGGTGCATAGCCTTCGCCATCTTCTGGCTGATGGCCGTCTTTCCCTCGGTGCGTTTCCTCCCGATTGGAAGAACGGCGGGCGCGGTGATGTCAGCGGCGCTGATGGTGGCGTTCCAGGTGTTGAGCCCGTTGGAGGCGTTTGCGGCGGTGAACCTGCCAACGGTGGGGCTGCTGTTTGGGACGATGATCGTGAGCACGTTCCTGGAACGGGCAGGCGCGTTCGAGTATCTAGGGTGAGGCGATACATTCTACTTCTGCCTCTGCTTTCTGGTCTCCCTTCAGTCTTCGTTTCTTGTTTGTACAACTACCCTTATTTTGTTCTGCTTCATCTCGATTCCCGTTTTAGGTTACGTCCTTTGTTTGAATCTGGTGGTTCCCACATATCGACCCATTGAGACCCTGAGACGAAGCTGAAAGCCTTGTCTCATTCCAAAAAGAGAGAGTTCCATGCATGAGCGATCATTGGGACTCCCAGAAGACTTTCTCTATCGTGGTCTCAGATCGACTTTCCAGCTTATTGTCGAAGTCTGCGCCCTGATATCCGTTCTGCGGTAGTGGATAGATGTTTAGATCCAAATGCCGGATCTCCCATTTTCAAGGGACTTTCCTGTCTATCCCGACTGGGCAGCCAATTCTGCAACTCATATTAGATGTAGCTTTTGAAAAGGATCTTTTGAAGAGCGGCCATTGCGCTCTCAACCCTGAGTTGAAAAGTCCAGCCTTGTTCGCAGCAGCTCTTCAAAAGATGTGTAAAAGGTAATTGCAGAAGGTTCCCTTCGTTCAAGTCTGTCAAATGAAAGGTTTCCTCTCTCAAGGAAGACAGTCCAGCAAAGTATCAGCTCTCGCAAATTCAGAGACGCAAAAATGTTCAAGGATTTTCTTCACCCCAGATGAAATGACTGTCTGAGCGAGGATCAAATCGCGTTCAACTCTAACCACAGTACCCTTTGGGTGTTTCTTCGTACAAGCCCCGTCGCTGAACCCCTCCCTAACCCTCCCTAAACCCCTCCCCTAACCCTGCAGTTGGTTGCTCGCCTGGAAGAGCCTCGGCGGTGCCGACCTTCTCTGTCGCCTGTGCGTCTTCTCCGCTCTCTCGGCCGCCCTCCTCACGAACGACACGACCTGCGTCATCCTGACGTCATTCATCCTCGGGCTCTGCCGGGTGCGCGGGCTCCCCCCCCAACCATACCTTATCGGTCTTGCCACTAGCACGAATATTGGGTCAGCGCTGACCCCAATCGGTAACCCGCAAAATCTGATCATCTCGATCAACGGCCGGGTGTCGTTTGGAAAGTTTTTAGCGGGCTTGATTGCGCCGGTTGTGGTTACTGTGATCGTTAACACGCTCGGTTTGCTGGTTATCTACGCGCGGCGGTTGTCGAAGAAGCGGTTAAGGGGGCGGTTAGAAGAAGCGGCGATCAAGAACACGGGGTTAGAAGAGGCGCGTAATGAGCCAGGGGGACAGGAAATAGTGGAGGGAATGAGTTTAGAAACGGTGGTCGGCGGGGGGTCTCGAGAAACAAACGAGGCCCACCCGGCAAACGGCTTGGAGCTAGCATCAAACGGAAAACGGGTTTGCAGCAGCAACTCGGCCGGGAATGAGGAACATGAAAAGGGAAGCGAGGACCAGGAGACTGGTTCTCAATCAGGTGGTGGGCGAAATCTGAGTGCGGAGGAGTCGAGAAACGGGTCACCAGTGCCGCCCCGGAGGAGCCTCTCCCTGGGGGCGAAACGGCGGTGGCGGGAAGAGTGGTCGGCCGGTGCAGACGGGTCGTTTCCTAATCCGCAGTCCGGCGGAGCGGCAAACTCCTCGCTGGTTTTCCAGAAAGACGAAACGGGACGTCGGTCGTTGAGTTCGCAAACCAGCGGGATCGTCGTTCTCATCGACCAAGAGACGGACGGTTCTCCAACTCATTCGGACCGTCAGCACACTCGTTCGGACGCTCCTCCAGAAAATGCGGACGCTTTTCCAGCCGCAGGCGCCCATTCGGACGGCCTCCGGCCGCGTTCGAATTCGCGCCCACACCAAGTCGAGGTCCTCGTTCCGTTCCCCGACCTGGAGCACCAGGAAGGCGTCCCCGCAGTCGCGCCCACCTGGAGGGGACGCCTAAAGCTTCTCCGGAAAAAGCGGCCCCCGTGGCTGTTCAAAGCGTCCGTGTATGTCGTTGTCGCGGGGATGCTGGCGGCACTTCTGGCCGGGCTGGATTTGCCGTGGGTGGCGATGGGGGCGGCCGTGATTCTGATCTGCCTAGACTTTCGGGACGCGGAAGAAACCCTGGATCAGGTGCGTCCGGTTTTCGTTAACAACCTTCTGAGTTCGCTTAAACCACCCGTTTAGTTTCTCTCTAGCCGTGGTTTCGATGTGCCTGGACTTCGGGAGGCGGAAGAAATTCTGGATCAGGTACGTGCTGTTCTGTATTAACATGCTTGTGACGCATTTGTAGCAGCCGTGATCATAGAACGCCTGGACTTTCGGGACGCCGAGAAACCCTGGATCAGGTGCGTCCTGTTTCACCTTAACGTTTCGTGACGTTACTAATATCACTTCCTACCTCACTTGTGTCACTCGTGGTCTTATTAATTTGACCTAGCTGTAGATCTGATCTGCCTGGACTTTCGGGACGCTGAGGAAACCCTGGATCAGGTGCATGCCGTTTCCTGTTGCATTCTCGTGACCTCCTTGATTCATTCAGCTTCATAGTGGCCGTGACTTTGGTCAGTTTGGACTCTTGAAAACCACGTTCAGGTGCGGGCCCCGGGGTCTTATTTCAGATACTTGTGACGTCACTGGCCTTTCCCAACAAGTAGTCAGCCGTAATCCTTTCTGCTGGCACTGTTGCGACTCGTACGCGACCCTCATTTGGGCTTAATCCTAATGTCCCCTCATTCTCCACTGAATGACTCACTTGCACAGCCGTGAGTTTTAGTCTACCAGGACTCCAGAGATGCCAAGAGTCAGTTTCAATGCCTGGTGCGCATCGACTCTTCTCAAAACAGAATTGCAGATGCCATGTGTGACCTCTCTTTTCTTTCGAAACGTCGGAGAACTCAAAAGACAGTGCTACAGACCAGCTTCAATCAGCTACGGCTCAGAGAGCGCTGGCCGCCGTCCGTCGTGTCTCATCTGCTGTCTATGTTTGACTAAGAGCACTCTCTTCTGTCACTTCGGCTGTTTACTTTTCCAGCACAAGCGATATTCTTCGTGAATGTTCTAAGAGAACCACTTTGAGGTGAAGTGCAAACCGACGTCAGCAATGAAGCGTCAACAAATTTGTCGCATACGGGGATATCCCACTCGCTTCCCGACTGCTTTCTCAGCACGGCTTTCGCTGTCAGATTACTTTCGTCACCATTTCCGAAACTCTCCGCCTTTCATACCTTCTGGACTTGTAGTGCATGCTGACGTCAGCAGCCTTGTCGCAGGTCCCTTGATCGCTCCTCGTCTCCTTCTCTAGCGCGGTCGTCAACGTCAAGAGTGTCCCCTCGCAACAATCTCCAAGCTTTGAAATCTAGACCTGTCGTGCATGCTGACGTCAGCACCCGTTTTCGCAGGTGTCTCACTCGCCCCTCGTCTACTTCCTTAGCTCGTTTGTTGCGTTAACGACGACTCCCAGAACTTCCCAGTTTCTCAAGTTTTTTCATACTCTTATCCATGCTGACATTGACTACCTTCTCGCAGGTCTCCTACTCGCTCCTGGTCTTCTTCTCCAGCATGTTCGTCGCAGTCCAAACTTCCTCTTGGTTTTCAGAGCTCCCCGATCCTTCAGATCTAGATTGTAAAAGCGTGACGCAGCACCTTCTCTGCAGGTGTCCTACTCCCTCCTCGTCGTCTTCTCTAGCACGTTCGTCGCCTCTACATTCCCTCAGATTTTCCCATTTCCAAAAGCGCAACGCTTGCTTACGTCAGCAGCCTCTCGCAGGTGTCCTACTCGCTCCTCGTCTTCTTCTCCGGCATGTTCATCGCCGTCGAGGGCTTCAACCGGACGGGCGTCCCCGGGCAGATCTGGGCCTGGCTCGAGCCCCACGCGCGCCTGGACACCGCGGCTGGGACGGTCCTCTTGGCCGCCGTTGTTACTCTGCTCAGCAACGTCGCATCCAACGTGCCCACTGTTCTACTTTTAGGTAAGCGTCCGAAAGCGTCCGTATCCATTTGTTGTGTCCGAAAGCGTCCCGAATGGTGTCCGAATGGTCCTGCTAGCTGCCGTCGTTACTCTGCTCAGCAACGTCGCGTCCAACGTGTCAACCTCCATGCTATTGGGTGAGCGTCCGAACGCGTCAAGATCGTTCATACATGTCCGGGAACACTCTGAAAGTGTCCGATGAGGCCGGGATAGTTCTCCTGGCTGCCGTTGTTACTCTACTCAGCAACGTCACATCCAATGTGCCAACCGTCGTACTCTCGGGTAAGCGCCCGCATCCGTTTGTTTGTGTCCGGAAACGTCCCGAATGGTGACCAAATTGGGTCCTCTTGGCCGCTGTTGTTACTCTGCTCAGCAACGTCGCGTCCAACGTGCCAACCGTCCTACTTGTGGCTGAGTGTCCGAAAGTGTCGCATCGGTTACTCTTGTCCTAAAACGTCCGAATGGTCCTCCTGGTCGAGGTCGTCACTCTGCTCAGCAATCTTGCGGCCAACGTGCTCACCGTCTGCTTTTGGGTGAGCGTCAGGAAGCGTCAGTATCCGTACATTGTTGTCTGTCAGCGTCCGAATGATCCTCCTGGCCGCCGTTGTCACTCTGCTCAGCAACGTTGCGTCCAACGCGCTCATTGTTCTACACCTGAGTATGCATCCGAAAGCGTCGAGATGGTTCGTTTGATTTTTGAGAGTCTGCTGAATCCATCCAAAGCGCCCGGGACTCCCCACCCTTAAGCCATTTGAGCCCGTTATCAAGCATCTTTAGACCTTTCTTCTACCCGCCTGTCCGAATCGCAGGTCGTAGGGTGGCTGCGTCTGCGGCAAGCACAATGACCTACGCGTCCTCAACCCAATTCATCCCCGAAAACAAACTGTGCTAAACCGTGCGGTTAACTAACGGGTTTGCAGGTGCCTGGGCGACTACGTCCGCAGCAAGCACCGCCGGGATCAGCGTACATATGCGCCCTTAACCCGTTGTTAGCGCAAATACACACGGTTCTAAACCCTGGGGTTAATCATTGGGTTTGCAGGTCCCCGGGTGGCCGCGTCTGCTGCAAGCACCGCTGGTATTAGCGAGACCTACGCATGGCTGTTCCTGGCGTTTACGAGCACCGTGGCCGGAAACTTAACCATGGTGAGCTTTTGGTGATCGTCTTGTGCTGCTTTTCGCTCTCACATACAATATCCAAACGACCGAGCTGAAATCGTAGCCGTCAGCGCAAGGCTCAAGAGCGAGTTCTACTTGACGAGACCCTGTAAGTCTCCGCTTGAAGGCGTACAGGAAAGATGGGGATTGGTTTGTATTCAACACACCGAAGCTGGCACGGGAGTTTGGTTTGGTCCGGGTTATGCTGCAGGCGTAATCAGTCAGACGCCAGCACGCGGTGGCAACTTTGACACCGAGTTGAAGATAAACCTTTTTGACTGCCCCTTTTCAGAGCTGCTTAGTCCGTAGCTTTTAATCCATCAGCTAAATTTCCAGAGTTGCCTGCCGACCGATTTTCTCTCATACACGATTCGTGACTGGGCCTTTCTGCAGCACTTTAAATCCTCGGTCCGTTTGTTCATCCGCTTACTTTCTTGCGTATAATTTTCTGTTCGAAAAGCGTGGACTCAGAACCGGCTTCGAGTCGCAGCTGGTTCTCAGCGTTTGTTGTGACTCAAAGACGTCAGATATTCGTTAGACACTCGTCAGAAAGGTATGAGAGAGTCGTCGGGAAGGCGTCTTTCTTGGAGATGCCCGCATCGACCAGCCTGCTTGCGTGCGCTGCCGTCTTTCTTTCCGCACAGCTGCTTTGCTTGTCCACGGGTCTTGGGTTGGGAAATCCTTTTCGATCTTTTCAGATCGAAGTGGCGAGGCTAGCATTCTTGGCCTAGTCTGGACTTACGAGGGCATCCCTTTGTCAAAACATTCGCCCCCTTTGTGCAGTTCAAGAATGCAGTTTGCTCCTTCCACTCGTATTTCGTCGACGAAAGGGTTCCCTTCATTCGTCTACTGTCGTGCAGGTTGGTTCTGCTGCCAATCTGATTGTAAGCGAGGAGGCGTTCCGTGCAAAGGACGGGATGCAATATAAGCTGAGCTTCTGGAACCATCTCCGATACGGGCTCCCATCCACCATCATCGTGTTGGCCGTCGGCATACCCTTGATCAACGGCTGAGAGCAGCCTCGCCGCGCTTCGCTGCTTGCACTGCGTACACATAGATAAGTACGGGCTATTGCCTGCCACCGTTTGGTAGTAAGTTAAGAGAGAAGCCCTTGTGTAGCGAGAATGCGAAGTGAGTGGTCAGAGTGAGTAAACATACTGCGATTGACGGATGCCTTGACTATGTGGAGAACGATTGGGCGTGCCGAGTATGATAAACTCGCGTCCACATATATATACAACCTTGAACTTGTGCGCTGATGTGTCTCCGTAGGCCTGATTCGAAAGCTGCAGCTATAGCGCAATTGCACAGAAATTTGACACACGAGGGCCAGATCTCGTATAAGATTGGTTACTTGTTCGTACAAGTGATTGCTGACAGGCTGCATCTGACATCCATGCACCGCTGCGCCGTCAAGGCCGGATTCAACATTCTCTCAATTGCCACCGCCTGCCTCCAACGATGCAATTGCTAGGTATAGGGGCTGCACGTCGCGGTTACTGGGCTGCGACCAATCTGCGATCCGTTCGATGGGCATGACAATGATGGCCGGGCATGTAGGATGGTTAAGGTTTCCATTGTGCAGTGACAATTCAAGCCTGCGAGAGAGCCGTCATACACCTACCTTGGCAGGCATTTGCATGATCGTCTCGATCCAAAACCTGAATTTTGGCCACATGTATATAGGTACACACAAAATTAAGATCCGTGTGCGTTTATTATATCCGAGTGGGATCTACACCTAGACCTATTTTCGTGGCGTCACATGAAATGGTCTCTTAAGTGTTCAAATACCGTCCGGTCGCAGCCAACTAGGCCATAGCCTTAGGTCCCTAGTTTCACTGTAACCCTATATGACAGTATGTAATGAAATGTGCGCGCTTGCTGAAGGCTTCCCAGATGCAGCTTGGGAAAGTATGGCGTTGCCATCGTCCATGCGTTTCTTGCATAGAGTATCATATCTCAAATTCAAGTTCTATGGTACAGAGTCCCTATATTTGCATATCATTGGCAGTGGTCAGACTGGAGTGCCGGGTCGACATGGTTGTTTCAATATCACACAAATGACCAAATGGCCAGTGCAAACTGAATCATAGCATATCCTATGCAAATGACAACACCGTTTCACCGGGCAAGGAACGGACACCTTTGTGTCTGATTTTTCTCCATAACTCAACGTTTGACGTGTTCTTGCGACACACAGAATTTTAGGCTATCTACACTGTACGCAAAGAAACAACTGTAAACAAGGTTAACTTGCAAGCGACCGCTTAATAGTGATCTGGTCAGGTTAATCGGTCAATGAGGCTCAGCATTTACTGCTCAACTCCGTTCAAGTCACCAACAACCCAGACAGCGTTTTCGGGGGTGTCAGAGTCAACGTTCACGGGACCGTCGCCGTTGGGCTTCAGGAAGTTTCCGGTGGTGTTGGACCTCAGGATGATCTGGGAACAAAAAGGATCATGTCAGGCTTTTGGTCTGCTTAACAATTGCAACTTACACCATCAATTTTCTGAATGTGCTGGGATGCTGTCTCCCCGTTGGACCACAATCACTGACAGCGCTTTCCGCTCGCTGCACATGAAGTGCGTGATACAGGGAGCGGAAAAAAATCTCTTCATGTAGCAATGAGCAAATCTGGGACCACAACCGATATTCATTCTCACAAGCAAGTAGGAGGTTCCTCAGAAGAAGGCTTCCAAGTAGCCAATCATATACCATCTAATTGCGGAGCAATCTGGTGGCCTTACCTTGCTTCCAATGGTGACGGGGCCAGAGGCAGCCGGGTCATCAGGGTGAACGATCTGCACATTGCCAATGATCACATTCAGAATGGAGGTTCTTCAACCTGGAATGTTGACTCCCTGTCTCATGCTCATCAGCACTACCTTGCCAGGTTTCCTTTAGCAACTCAAGACATCCTCGGCACTTTCTCCATTCTTCCACTTCATTGCTCTCTGTTAGCAGCTTCTCCATTCTTCCACTTTATTGCCTTCTGTTGAAAGCTTTGCTAGCAGGTGTCAGAACTTTGCAATTACGGGTGACAGCTTCAATTACTTCATTGCTTCTGTGTGCGGCTATACTGATCGAGAGTGGTATCTATGCTGAGAAGTCCCTGGATGGAAATAGGCTCCATTTTTCAATGCAATCAGAAAACCTGATTCAGCAGAAGTCCATGAACAACGAAAAACAATCCAACGGTCTGTAGATTTGTCGATCTGTAGGTCTGATAACTTCCAACACCAGACAATGTTTAAAGTTGGCAGCAATTCAGAAAGCTAACTGCTTTGTGCCTGCAAGTAGTTCCATGCAACCTGCTCTTTCCACATTGCTCGATGTAGCAAGGTGAAAACCTTTGTATCGCGGAATCTGTCTGGCAACCCTACCTGCCACGACTGCTGGTCGCCGACATCGGTCGCCGTCCATGAACCGTCCAGGCTCAGCCAGGCATTGTTGCTCAGGAGACCGACATACTGGCCGTAGTTAATGGGGGTGCCGAACTCAGGGCCAAAGGCGTGCTTCTCAGCATCCTGTGACCAGCGAGATGCATCTGGTTAGGACGCTGCTAGCCCTTGTTTCCCTTGTGGTTCCCATGTGTATTGCTGAACTCAAGTAGGTCACTTTTGTAGGGTGTGTCGCACATTCAGGCTTAGTAAGAAGGCAGTATGAGAAAACTCGTACTTCATGACACACAAAAGCAGGCAGTTTCAGACTGAACTCTGAAGAGGCTGAACTAAATTCTATGGGAAAGTTGCTGCTTGTGCGGTGACTAAATCTGAAACCTGCAAGTACCGAAACTCCAATGATTTTCCAATACAAGCAGAATTTTGTGCCTGATTACAGTGCAATCCCAAAAGCATAGGTTGGACAACACGCTACGCAAAGGGTCCGTCCAACGGGAGAACACTGTGTCGACTTTGCGCGTATCAACAATGCCCTGATGGAAATATCAGTGACTGTACATGAGAAGGGTAGGTCTTAGCCCCTCTGATCAAACTCAGTTCAACTCATCAGTTCTCCAACTTGAGAAGAATTGTCCCACAGTCCAGAAACTACCAGTGACCAGACACCATCATTGAAAAACTTGCAAGACGCATCTCCCTGGACAATGCTTGGGGAGAAGCAAAACCTTCAGTTCTTCACCCAGGGACTCCAGTTATCATCGTTACAAGAGCAGCAGTATATTAACGGATCACCTCAATCCGTACGAATGACAATTGTGTGCAGAAGACGGAAGTCAGATAAACTTTCAAATAGGCCCTTGGAAATCCTTGAGCTGACTGTACACAATGCAATTCTGCAGCCTTTGAACCATTCCGAGCAAAGCCACCGCGTGTCGAATCTGATTGTGCGCACTCTGAGCTCATTGCAATCAAAGAAACAACCTTTTAGTCATGAGTGATGCTTCAGTTGCAAGCAATGCAATGCAATGCAATGCTAGGCAATTCACAAAGCGACATCAATGCAAGCTGAGAAGTCAATAAAACCCTTCTCAGCGAATAGTAGGGGGACACAGGAAGTTCTTCGGAAAAGAGGGGAGGACAAAGCTCACCGAAGGCGGTGGAGGCCAGATTGTGCTGGCAGCGCCGTTGGCTGCGCTCAGGAAGCCGCCAGGGCCATCGGACCTGAGGGTGATGATGGTCTGCTGGCCGGTCAACGCCGCCATCTTCAGGTTTGATTAAGAGGTGGTAGATACTGGTTTGAGAAGAGCTTCTGCTGAAGAGCTGGAAATAACGACGGAGCAATTGAAGCTGGCAATTTGAAGGGTGTGGAAATCGGAGGGGACAACGCAGTGCCTGCACAGGCTGCAGTGCAGTGCAACTTGCCTGCACCGTGCAGCCGGAGAAAAGTTTAGGTACCTGCCGATATGTGTGCATGCATCCTGATTAAGAGTGCAGAGTGCAGACCTTCAGCAGGGTGCGTGGGTACCGACATCCAAGATTCTTAGATTCGGTAGGTACCGTGACGCCGTACGGTGCCAGCGTTCGCAGATCAGCCTGGCAGGATGGATCCCATGGGGCCATGGGCCATTTGGCATGAATCCAGTTCGTTCGATGCCCCCTACCGTACGCTTCCTGGTCCGTACCGTATCCATGGCATATGGCCCGATCCGATCTGTACGCGTTCGGTTCAGGACATGGTAGGTACGTGCTACGCAGGGCCTACTGCGGGACCATGCGGGTTGCAAACGGTGAGATCAGGATTCCCCCCCGGTCCCTAGAGTAGAATTTGCGTCAGTGAGGATTTGGTTACGGACTACCGGCAGCGGCGCCTCAACCAGGCAGAACGAGTCCCCGGGGTGTGCGAAGAGTCACCGGTGGCTTTTGTAGGCCACGTTTGGGAGTCGGGACTCGGTACCCACTTTGCGGATTCCAGAACCGCCTGGAACCGCCTGCGCCGCAGCTGCAGGCCCAGATTCAGAGCCTTGGAAGTTGGAACTGTGCCAGTACCTACACTCAGTGTAACACTGTACGGTGTAGGTACCTACCTATCGCAGTACGGTATCATGGTCACTAGGTAGGGACTAGGTAGGGTACCTACCTACCGTATTCGAGCACTGTTTTCAGTCAAGCCTTGGTACCGTATGTTGGTACCGTGCTGCAAAAGTACAGATCGGCGGCCCGTGCAGAGTTGCGATGCATATGAGCTACACATACGGCGATGACCACCCTGCTCCAAAGCCATTATTACACGATCGTACGGAATCGGTACCGGAATGCTAATATCGCTTTGTGGATTGTTCTACCGGGGCCCGTATGAATTGTTTTTTGGCCGTCGATATCAAACATTGAAGGCTTGGATTGCAGATCATATCTTTCCCGGCCTTGAGGAGAATCGCCTCGGGATCGTATTAATTTGTTTGTTGAATGTCAGCGACTTGAACCCCGATAATCCAGCCCAATCAACACAAATGTCCGGGCAAATATGACACCCACGGTGACCCTACCTATTAGGTATACCGTACAAGGTACGTACCTAGTACCTATTGACTCTCGAGTACGCCCATTGCTACCGGTCCGAGAATTGCTGCCAGTGCTGTTGGCCTGCAACGGAATCCAGAATCCCCGTTCGGCCAATGAGTCTGCTCAAAATCAATGTGTCCGACGTGGCAAGGAAAGGAAGCCAATGGAAGACGTTCTTTTCATCCACATGGCAAGCTCTATACCAGGGGGGCTAATATGCCTCCACTTACCGTATACGGTATACCGTACGTCTCGAGGCACCGTGGCGGTTCATGCAAGCGTGGTTGGGTACCGGCAGCGCTCATTACGAAGCGCGCACGCGCGCAGCTTCAATCGGGTTCCGACGGTTTTACCCCTTCC